TCACAGTGAACACACATGATCACAGTGAACACACATGATAACAGTGAATACACATGATCACAGTGAATACACATGATAACAGTGAATACACATGAATACACATGAATACACATGAATACAGTGAATACACATGAATACAGTGAATACACATGAATACAGTGATATAAGTAACATTATAAGTATATCCTATATCGTGTATGTATACAGTGTAGAACCATGCATAATAGTGCCATTACATGGGGTCTTACATGAAGTACTGACCCAAACAACAGAACCTTCTTCGAAAACATGTCGACGTTTGGAGGTGAAAGTTCTGTCGAGATCGACCAAGATTTCTTTGATAGTGGATACTCTTACAACTCCCAAGCTCAAAGCAGCAATTACTATGATCAAACTGAACACCAACAGCCGCAAAATCAGTCAGAATACGCGCAGAGCTACTCGCAGTATGGACAGACACAATCAGCAACAGGGTACAATTCTTATAATTCGTCTTCATATCCCAACAACACAGGTTTTTATAATCCACAGACTTATGACTATGGAGCATCAGGACCTACTGCTATGAGTGAGCCTAGCTTTTCGGGTTTTATGCAGCCTAAGCAAACGAGTGAAGATTACACGAGCTTTGAGGACGAGCCTCCATTGCTGGAAGGTAAGCTTAATAAAAGTTGTAAACTGGTATTTATGCTTAAGCTTATTTTAACTGCACTTCTTTTATCATCAATATCTCAGCAGATACGGCATCGGTGAATAGATATTTTAACTTACAATTTTTTTGGATTTTTCTGGTAATACTTTTGCTTTATTATAGAACTTGGAATAAACTTTGAACATATTTGGCAGAAGGTAATAATATTTTTTTTTGTATAATCAATAATGATTATTGTTGTGTTACAGGTAATTCTATCAATAAACTAACAATAATAAAATGAATTTGAACTATTTTTGTATTAACTAACAGTAATTGAAATGAATTTGAATTTTTTAATGGTCTTACAATTTTGCAGACATTGTCTGTCCTTAACCCACTACAACAAATAGAATCAAATATCATGGATGATACTGATTTAGCTGGCCCTTTGGTATTCTGTCTTGCTTTTGGAGGCTTTTTACTTCTTGTAAGTATAAAACACAAATAAATGGCAAGGGTGGCACACACATTAAATATTTAGATCTTATCAAGTTGTAATTACAGGGTGGTACAAAATCATCACGTTTCACAAAAAATAAAATTGCCCCCTTGTCCACCCACTTGATCACTCACCACTGTGTTATTGTTATACATATATTTGTGTTATTGACTCACCCCTGTGTTATTGTTTAACCGCCACACGGTTGGCTCGGTTGAGCATCAGACTGTTGTGTGGGAGGTCATGGGTTCAAGCCTTGGTGGTTGGATTTACTGAACACTCAGGGTCTTAAAACAACCGTGGAGAAAGTGCTGCCTTTTTAATTACATCTACAAATAGTTTGACTTTCAAGTGGCTTGGATGACCACTTTAAATGGCAGCCCAATCTCTCAACACTTCATCATTACTAGACAATATCGGAGGGACATAAAAAAACCACTGAGGAGGTAAAAAAAAAACAGGTATTGCCTACAATTCCTACTAACCACCTCATGATTGTAAGTGCCTTTGAATATGGACATAGAAAAGGGTACTATTTGAATTGCAAATCATTGCATCATTATTTTATTATCTAAATGTTTTAAAATTTTATCAGGACTGATGTCTTTATATTAATTTCAGTCAGGAAAGGTCCATGGATTTGGTTACATCTATGGCGTGGGTGTCCTCGGCTGCTTATCTCTTTATGCAATTCTAAATTTGATGAGCATGACTGGTGTCAATGCTGGTTGCGTCATCAGTGTTCTTGGATACTGTCTTTTACCAATGGTATTACTATCAGGCATTTCCATCATATTTTCATTACAGTAAGTTGAAATACTTTCTTGTGCATATTCTTAATAATATAATTATGTTTTACGGTACCAATTTTAATTAAAACTTCTTAGAGTGCATACCATATATTTGTTTAAAACTTTGTAAAAAAAACTGCACAAATTTGCACAAATTAGTAAGTTCAGTAGACTTACAAAACTTTGCTCTAGTTTGTATGATTTTGTTAGTCAAGTTTTTCATGGATATATGGTATGCACTTTACTGTAATTGCAGTCAATGATGTCAAAAGGAATTGTAAAATTGTAAGTTCTTCATAGACTTAAAAAAATCTGTGTAAATTTAACCAAAATTATCTCTTTTTCTTGGCATTTTTAGGGGTATGCTTGGCACAGTTTTAACAGCTGTGACGATAGGATGGTGCAGTCTTACGGCATCAAAACTATTTGTGACTGTTCTTGCAATGGATTCTCAGCAGTTGCTAGTTGCATACCCATGTGCTTTGCTGTATGGAGTATTTGCATTGCTAACTGTGTTTTGAGCAGCAAAATGTACAGTCAAATGGATCATGACAATAGATAAATAGATAAAAAAGATTAAAAATAATTTATGTAATATCATAAAAGCCATTCTAAGGTCGAGGAAAAAACTGGGTTGTATTGGCATTGCAGCATTGTGGGATTGTTTTAAGGGACATATTTCCAAAATGAAATTTTAGTATTTCGTACCCTAACAGTCCCACAATGCATTGCAATTCAGTCCAGTTTTTCTCAACTCTAGGTTGGCCAATGTAAACTATTCATATCATATAAATAGCAAACACAGAATAGTCAAGAAGGCATATCATTTTATTACAACTAACTTGAAGTGAAGAAATTGGTTTCATTTATCTTTCTAAAAACTCAAGTCATTGAATTTGTAAGTAGTAGGATAATTCCATGGCTTTAAAAATTTTCATCGATTTTGGGGTTTGTGTAAAAAAGCTGTAACAACTGTGGCATTGTTACATCCTTTCAGTGTTGGCCAGGGTGATTTTATTGTATACTACTTGCTCTAAGTCTGGCTCAATGTTTTCCCCATTTATGAGTTACACTAGCATTGGTGGTGTACGCTGCTAACACATTGTCTTTCACCACTGTAATTCCAAAGGTTTGTTTACTAAAGGTTTTTCAGTTTCCTTCCTCTGTAAAAATCCATAAGTTGAGGATTGTGTGCATAGAATATTGAATGGTAGTATATGTGAATGAAAAGTGTCCCAAATTAGTGTAAAAGTGCTAGAACAAATAGACACTTAAATAATTWAAAAAAAAATTTTTTTGGCATAAAATAATTTTTGAGACATTCACTTTTGTTTCGCCTTTTCTGCTAAAACCCTTGAAAAGCTGTTGTAACTAAAAGTGCACATTTTATTATTTGAATCGCCATGGAAATATATTGAAAGACTTGTATAGCAGAGTAGGTACAGGGTTTTTATGTATAAGGACTGAAGCAAATAAGTCACTTGCTGTGTTTATTGCCACCCATATTGAATATTGTTCTAAAACAAATGGAAAAAAACTGACAGTCCTGTCTGTTCCTCCCTCCTCTTCATGTGACTGAAGAACAAAAAGCAAACACAAGGGAGTTCAGAATACTGCTATTTTATTAATCTACAATCATGTGAAATATTTACATACTCTAACTTAACTAATTATGATGGATGGCAGTACATTACAGGGTTAATTATCTGGTGTAAATTTTATGCAATGATCTCAAACTTGAAACAAAATCTTGTAGTTGATATGTTAGTCAATAATTGAAAACAACAGAAATGGTGCTTGGTAATGTTTATAAGACATGTTACTATATTATAGTGGGTTAAACAAAGATTCATGGTTCCGACTCAGATTATATAGCAAGTCAATCACTGTTGCAGCAGTTTTCCCAGTAGAGTCAAAATTTTGTACCATAAATTTCTATTCAGTATCTGTTTTAAACAATACTACAAGGCATTTTTTTATTTTCACAGGACAGTACACAAATGAAACTATTTGTAAATAATTTTCTGTGATCAGAATGTTAAATTTTGAGATATCTTAGCTAATGTTTTATGTAGGGGTAGTAAGCACAATAGCAACAGTAACAAGGGGAATTGGAACCATGAATAACTATTGATAGTCATGGAAATTAGACAAATAATAATCCAGTGTACCTTATATTTTCTAATTACGGATGCTATCAGATATTTCATATACTGCAAATAACTAATAAACTTAAATGGCTTTTGGAGCAGGTTGAGAATTGGAAAAATTTTTCAGTAAATTCGATTTTCGCTTGCAGCTGTTCACAATATTTATTGCAAGCGACTTTTAAGTGAAATGAGTTTTTTTCAAAAAACTGATTTCGATTTTCAGTGGATGTCAACCAAATGCATTCCTATCATAACAGAGTCCTCTAAACAAAGAGGAGGGAGTCACTAATTTTTTTGTTCCTTAGCTGTAGCCCCAGAGGGAAAACTTTTCAAAATGTAAGAAAGGGACATATAATTTCAAGCCTTAACTGTCAGAATGACGGCACTCCCTCTTCAGTAAAAATATCTTGATCCTTCATTCTAAATGGTAGGAAGTTGTAATGCTGAAGCAATTAAAGCAATAACACTCAAAAAGAAACTTGTGACTGAAAAAAATGTCACATGTTGATTATTGTTGGGAACATATTTTACATCAGGGCTTAAATAAGTGGCCAGTCAATGTACAATATCCAGCCAGAATACTTGAGCTTGTCCAGTCAAATGTTTGCCTTGCCGGTCATTTTGACCAGTAAAGTTAAGCGAGAAATAAGGTATGACTGAGCAAAAAACTATATTTGGCTATTCATCATGACCGGTGATTGACCAGCTCTTTCTTAAGCCCTACATTATACCTAATTTTATTATTTGTGGGAAATACTTTGAATGTTAGGCAAACACCTAATAATCTTGTGTATTGCCCATTTTCATTTGGTTGTGATTCATTTTTCTTGTGTTGCTTAAAAACTATCAGGTTCATAAAGCCAAAAAAAATTATAAAATAAAATGAATCTGAAGCCTATGACACTCCATAGGGCAAACATTCTTGATTCTCATACTCTACCATACACAATAATTCCTTTATCTTGCAAAAAATAATCACACATAGTTTATTAGCTCCATGTACAGCACCTCCCAAGCTATTTTATGTTCTTAGAGATGACGAATCCATTAAGTTGGATGTGGAGCTAGTTTGTTCATCACGTTCCCAATTAATATCAGCATTCACATGAAGAATTCTAGCTGACGAGTCTGAGCTTCCTATTTAATGGAAAACAAAAAATATCATCCATACTGTATACAGAATGCAATAATGGCTTCTATTGACTTTCAAAAATCAAAACTAATCTTTAAGAATAAGCATCACTAAAAGAAAGATGAAGCAGAAATATGTAATAGAAAACTAGGCATTAATACCTGAACTTTCCCCATCAATACTTTGCCTTCGTGACAACCCAACTGAGCTATCTTCAATTTCCCCAATGAACACAATTGGATTATCAGCAGCATTATGGTGATCTTCATTCTCCTGTGTTGGCTCTATTGTAGTAGCTGCTTCCACCTCAACACTACTATTTCTATTTTCAGTGACTGGCTGTAAGAACATCAAAAGGGAAATTGTTACAAATACAAAATCAATAAGAGCAGGAGACCATCAACAAAGCAGGGCTTGTGTATCAAACCCTAGTTGAGTGGTGAGTGCTCTGTCCACTACACCAACCACACTCCCCACCCCATCCCCCCCCAAAAAAACAGAAAGAAAGAAATTGAAGTTTTGGAAGATCACAGTCCTCTGGCAGAGGCTTTTTAGATGACAGTCACACAAATTTGTTGATACTGTCAGGACAGAACTCAATAAAACTATATATTGTTTTAAAGGTCAGATGATAAAGATTACGAAAAATATATCATTTGAAAGCAATTTCCTATTTTGAAACAATACTGGAGCGTTAAACATGAATCGCGGATGTTCCATAAATGTGAATTAATGGCTTTAGCACGCATAGCCAAAAGAATTTCACTATGTGATAAACTACAAAAGGGTGTGGGTGATTTTTGAATTTTCGCTTCCTTAAAAAGTTTTTGAGTTTAAAGTTGAAACGTTCAAAAAAAAAACTTGACGTTGGTTGCCGTTTTACCTCATATCATGTTTTTTTAATAACTTGCGAAATGTTTAATATTTCTAAGAAAAAATTTGTTGAAAATGGCAAATCAGCTTACAAGCTTTTATATTATTTGAAAACGTTACCCACAAAGGTCTCTAGTAACTTTAATGTTACTGGTCAAAATAACTTTCAAGACAAAGAATTGACCAGACAAGTTGGAAATGTATAGATGTATTTTGCTTACCACTTCTAATTCTTTTAAAATGTTAAGCTTGCACATCGGACACGTTCTATGCTCAACAAGCCATGGATCAATACACAGCTTATGAAACTCATGTCTGAAAAAAGTGCAAAACAAAAATATCAAATATAATGTTATTGTAATGCATATTATATTTATGTTATCGTTAGTGTTATAAGGCCTAGGGCAAACGTCGAACTTTCCATGCACAATTACATCAAAGAATGCTGCCTCATTATCACCTGATATCCATTGTTTTTAATGAGTTCGGTGCATGGAAAGTTCGACATTTGACCTAGGCCTAAATTGTAAAATGATTACCAATAATTACGGTGGCCCACAGGGGCAATACAAAAATATCAAACACAGTACAAGTACATTAATGTCAGTACAAGAATGTGCATTTCAGCACACAGATATGTATGCCAGACAGTAAAAATATTTCCCAATACCAAAATTATTCCGAGTACAAAAATATTTCCCAGTACAGAAATATTTTCCAGTACAAAAATATTTTCCAGTACAAAAATATTTTCCAGTACAGAAATATTTCCCAGTACGAAAATATTTCCCAGTGCGAAAATATTTCCCAGTACGAAAATATTTCCCAGTACAAAAATATTTTCCAGTGCAAAAATATTTTCCAGTACAAAAATATTTTCCAGTACAAAAATATTTCCCACTACAAAAATATTTCCCACTACGAAAATACCAACAGACCATTTTAGCTTTGAAGTAATGCTTTCCCATTTCATAACACATTTCATTCTCTTGAGAATTCTTTGTTTGAGTGGTATCCATATTCATGTGTCTTCTCATGTGCAAACGAAGGATTGATAGTCTAGGGCAAGTATTCCATCAAAATTTCAAGAAGGCGAATGGTTTACCTTATTAGGTGGCTGTATCTATGAAGGGGGCGTATAATTGGGATATAAAATGGCTAAAATATAGAATGTAGGAGCAGGAGTTCGCTGACCTCAAATGAAATCCATGCTAAAGACTGACATTATTGACTTACTGACAAGGTAATATTCTGAGTGTTTCTCCACCTTTGTAGCCATCTAAACAAACAGGGCAGCTATCAACCTCCTCTTCTTCATCCTTAAAAATAAAGAAAAACAGTTAACATACCACTTTATTACCTGAAGGTAATAATTAATCAAGCCATAGTGGAGATACTTTGACATATTAAATTTATTTCGAGTCAAGTATCTTAAAAATCGTGAGTTCTAATTGGCTGTTGGAACAGGCRGCATTTGCTATATCTGACCACAATCCAATCCAATATTCTGGGAAACTGAATTGCTAAGCAACAGAATATGATAATAAAAACAAGCGGAAAAGTAATGGGGGAAAATATAGAACAGTTATTTACTGGCTACAAATGAGGAGATAAATTGAAAAGACCTGGGGCACAGTTTTTTCCTATCTTGACCTCTTGACTGTTAAAAACTGCTACACATTAACAAGGGGTCCAGAACATACAAAACTAGGTTTTATGCTGAATTGCAGACTGTCCTAACCAGAGTTAAAGTCAGGCAATTTGAGTTTATGAAGGTTTGCTGTGCTTTGATCTAGATAATAGTTACAAGTGTTGGCTAAGCACAACAGTTAAAGTGTATATGACACGAAAACATTCCATCATTTAAAATGTATAGTTTGTTAGTA